AATGAAACATAATGTACAAAAAGGAAAAAGGTAATTTGTTTGGTTATGTGTTTTTACTTGAATTTATTAACAATAACATTGCCTCTAAATTAAGATGCAAAAACTTTAGTCATTGTTATCTCACGGATGTAAGAAATACGATCTAATTAATTCATACCAGATGTAACAAAACAAATAACTAGGAAGTACTATTCAGATTGATTCATTTTTTAATCATAAAAAAGATAAATGGCCAGTCTTATAAACCTTTTAAGAAAGTAAACATGCATATCAAAAAAATCTAAAGAATTTTTTAATCTGTAGTTAATAATATTAGCTGCAGCAAGAGCATGAACGTCGTGTGTTTTAGAATATAAGTTATGTATAAACACGGTATTAACACAGTGACCCAAATGCGCAGTGCACATATGCTATGTTAAAACTACTTTATGTTCACGCCAATGTGAAGACCCATTAAAATTTTATCAAGAACTAATCGAGGTTGCCAATGCGAAAGACGCATGTACAATATAAAATCAAATATCGTCTATAGTTTCTTGTCCATTAAGATTAATTTACATAAATTAAAAATAAAAAAAAAGAGAATTTGTTGCAAAAAAATTTACGGCTTACAAAACCTTATAAACACTTTTTATTTGCTTGTTTTGTTAATTTAATGATACTTTGTGTTCGAATTATGACCGTCTCTTCAAGTAAATCATATTTGGTCTACAAAAAGGGGTTAAAAGTGAAGTAATTGGAATAAAGATGGACGAAGCCTTGAAGTGCCTAGTTAATAAACCGATGTATAAATTCGAAATTAAGTTGGCACGTCGAGCAGAAAGGTGCTCTAGATCCCGACGTGCCAATTCAAACGCTTACTGTAACCTCCTTATCTCAGGCTTCACTAGAAATTGACAAGTAGCGCTTTCCTACAATATCGCATTACCGTACGTGAGGAATCACAAAAGCTGAGAGTAATCTTAGTTGGAACATGATATCGAATTACTAGCACGATGTTATCTCATAAAGCAGTTGTCAACCAACGTAATATGATATTGCTGAGTAAGATTTTTTATTAGAACGTGAAAGCATGCACTTATACTATGTTGACAATAAACATACTACACACTTGTAGATATGTGGTCTTGCTACAGTATATACTTCCTTAGAACCAATCATATTTGTATTAACTATTGAAATTTGTCAATATCATATTTCACACTAAACCTATTCAAGTTGACGCAATAATTTAAAAAAATATTAACAGAATTGAAGACTCATATTATTAAAAAAAACAACAGAAAATATGGACAGTATTATACGTGTAAATCTTGTATTCTTTGTATGTGATCACACCTTTGAAATGGAAATCAGTACCATTAAAGATAGATTTAAGTTACATTTAAGTTATAGTAAAACACTAAGCTCTATAACATTTATAAATAATACGCTCTAAGGTTTGCATTACCCAGCGCACTTCAAACGAGATCTCCGATAATGTCCTGAAGGCACAATGCTGCATTCAGAGTGGCCGCAGTGAATGGGGGACTTTAATGGGCCCCCACTTAATAACATATCTCTGAGATAATCAGCTGTCTATAAATGCACATATTCCACAAGCGAGCTAGTTATTATATTTAATATATATCAATTTAAAAATAATGTGCATTAAATAAGTCGAAAACCAAAAGAATCTTAAAGTTTTAAAACATCCTGTAGTAGAATTTAAGGTTATGTAAAATGATTATTAAAAACACTAAAAATGTTATATTTTTGTTCATAAAAACAAACAAAGAATCGAAGATTTATTAAACTATCGTATCTACCGTTAGGATAACTTAATAAATTTGCAATAACGTTAATCAAAGAACCGGTCACAAAAAATACAAAAGGTCAACAACCTCGGATTGAATAAATCGACATAACATCGGTTTTCTTTATAATTATGTTTGAACAATTACATCACTGCGATGTTATTGACCTTTGTATAGATTGATTTATTGAACGTGGGTACATCTAATAATTTAATTGAACATGTTTAAATAATAAGGATATAATAGGACTCAAACGTGAATAAATAGTAACTAAGGCGCCGCAAGGCTAGCAGGCTAATATTTTTCGATCCTTTTGAGGTGTAGATCACCCTATCCTGGCGGCACTCATGTTTAAGAACTGTTTATAAAGACTTATTTAGCTTGGACATAAAAATAATCGCCAGATATCGTAGAATCACTTTAAATTTGCAACTAATAGAACTAGAGTCTGTATTTCAATTACAACAAAAAAAAAACGGTATCTGGTGGTAAGAATTAATAATAATTGAACTATTTATATAGCTGACTTTATAACTTAAGTAGCGGAAAAATATTGTAGTACCTATTGTGGTATTTCTATCTTATCTTCAATCGGTATCGAACATAGTAGAGACAAAACCGTAACATGTTATCTATTAATTATAACATCGAGATGTATTTAAGATCAGTATTTTATAATCTGCGTACAATAAGCGATTGTTAGGCGTGGGAGCATAGACAAACGCACCTGACCTTCGTTGGAATTCGACTGTTAAGACAATTTAAATATCACGTATCTGCAATGTCAATAAAGGTTAAAGATATGTGTAATTTATGTTTATATATCTGTATCTAAATACAATGTACAAAATTATATTTTCATGTCTTATTTTTTTGAATGTTAGAGCAATAATGTTACCTAATCTTTGTTTTCTTTCGGATTAAAGAATAAAATAATGAATTATACCTAAACAAATTGTAATCCTAAAGAACGTAAATATCTGGAAGATTATTTTTATCCTGTAATGATATCTAAATTCAAGCCCCCAGACTGTTTGAGCGATATCCGCATGCCGAGATTTTTATCTATGTCGTAGGTGTTTAGACACGTAGAGCCTTAAATGTCAACACATTACTTATACCAGCTTTTTGCACACACAGTAACATTAAAAAATGTATATTGTAACACAAAACTAACTAATTGCTCACATTTTGACAATGTTAGCTACTGTAATATAACCAAAAATATTTTAAAAAATTAAAACAATATTTTTAGGTTAGAAAACAGATAATGCAATGAATCGCTGTGCAAACATAATTGTTAACCACATGTTCCATTTAATCATTACGCCGTAACATATACGCCTAAAATAAACATTAATTATTACAAACTTTTGTTAATAAAAGTGTTGCCAAGTTTATTGGTTAAAAAGCAATTGTTCGTGACTTCATCGGCGCGGAATAAAAAAAGTAACCTATAATGTACCTTACATAAACTACCTCCGATTAAAGGATGCATTAGTATCGACTACAGGACTAATCACAATCAAACACATAACTCGTTTGTTAATGAAGACAAAAGCTGTTTAAAATGTACACATTTCGCACATCCTTATAATTAAAACGTTAAAAACACTTCTAAATGAAACTTGTTTGCCGATAGCGTTATCTTTTTAATTAAAAGTTAACCTTATAAGTTACCACCTGTGCTTGGTAGTCAGTAATGTGAACTTGATCGTGACAACTTAACTTAAAAACCAACAGTTATTATACATAGTCGATTTTTTTTAAATGAACACTTTTGAATTGAAAATTTAAATGTAAGTAACAATTTTCTAGCATTTTACAGGTTAACAATTTCATATTTTATATAACTACTTACCTTCTCTTCTGCTACACTTATCGCAAAATCCAACAAACACGGCCTGTCTTCGGCGGTATTTCCAAACCAATACGACTTAGGGTCCTTCAAGAACCAAGCCTATCATTTCTTCAAAGGCCAGCACATCTGTAGTTCCTCTGGTGTTGCGGATTTCCATGCGTGTATTAAACATCTCGGTGTTCTCGTCACTCGTTTTCCCCCTTTTATTATATAATAATCTATCTAAAATAGAAATCAAGAAGAGATTATTTTAATTACATATAACAATGAATTGTTAGTTAATGTAGAAAAATAGTTAATCAATCAATACGAGGGCATTAAAAGGCAATTACCGGAATCGCTAGACATTTCCAATTCCTAATTTAAAGATATTTTGAAGTCACTTTCCTATCGAATTAAGATGTGATCGCATGCAGCGCACAGCGTGGACGGTGGGTGACGGCGCGCATGGCAATCACTCGGATATTTCACTTTCCAATGAATTAAACATTCATCTGATCCACACGAATATTGACCAATAAACACACTTATCCTGTCCAATTAGCATACACTGACGTATTATATAACACTGAAGGGCAACAAATATAAATCACTAGCTTTTGCTCGCAACTTTGTCCCCGCGAAATTTAAAAAATCTAGCTAGTGTTCTAACGGTAAAGGGATTTAAAAAATATATCCAGTAGTTTTGAGGTTATACGGTAGAGACAAAAATCTTTCCTCTTTATAATACTAGCATAGACAAGTAGGTATAGATTATAACAGCTGACTGCAAGATTTAAACAAAAATAACTCTGTAACAAGAAATAACTATCATAATAATTAATTACTGTAATGTTACATTTTAGCATTTAAATAAAACTGGATTTATTTTATTTAAATGCTAAAATGTATGTACTAATTTATTAATAACTTACATTTTTGGAAGGTATAAAGAAAGTAGTACTAGTTTTGTATTATATTATCTGTGGTAGTATTTCTCAGTTAATTCCACATTATGCTTATTCTAATTATTTTTGCGTCATGCATTTAGAATGAAACTACTGATGCTGTTACGAATATCCAAACGCATGGCAGTTTTCTTTTACGCGGCCACTACTTATTGTGCTAAAACTTTTTCTAATAACAATTGCGAATTCAAATAGCATCCTTCCTTTTAAATTTCACCTACTTCGAATTTCGAATTCTCTAAATTGAAAGAAATTTCTCTTCCACAGATTCCTTAAAGCAATTTGTTTTGTTTTTTAAATTCTGCAACCATAACGTTTATAGTCTATACCTGAGAATGATGTTAATGAATTTTGTTTTTACAATTTTTAATTTGTACCCTCTATTTTTAGATGAAGCTATCGACATTATTATTGTCAACATTATCTGTTATAATTGTCGATGCGACTGTACCTGGGTCGTCTAGTTCCAATGAGATAACATATACGCAGAAGAGACGAGCACAACCTAACACTGGTGCTGCATTGTACCCACAGGCGAGCGACACACGAGATGTGATAACTTTAGACGGAATATGGAACTTCAGAAAGTCCCCAACAGATCCTGAACATGGATACCGCAATGGATGGTACGAACACGATCTAGAAAAGGTAATTTTCGTTATTTTACTAATTCATTTGTCTCGTGAAAGAGGTGACTAATGAAAGGATGATGGATGATTTTAAACCAAATAACCAAATAAACCAAAACCAATTTGTGTTTATTCAACATAAAATAATAACAGAAAGTTAAGTGTAGAAATAATGAATTTGTATTTGAAATTCCTTTAATCCGTTTCTAAAGTAAATGAAATTATTTACTAAATCAAATGTCAAAAAATTTCTTCTTCCCAATGAATACCTTCTTTTGTTTTGCCATTTAAGTATCTATTTACTAGCTTTCGCCCGCGACTCCATTCGCGTGGAATAAAAAAAACAAAATTGAATAGCCTATGTGTTTTTCCAGACTATCCTCTACATTTGTACCAAATTTCATCGAAATCCGTTCAGCCGTTAAGACTATAAACTCAACCTCTAACAAACATCCATTCATCCATCTAAACTTTCGCATTTATAATATTAGCAATTAGTAATTTAAACTTATTTCCAGTGTTCCAACGTATCTTAAAGTTTTACTAATATTTTTGTAAATGTATAATTTTATTATAAGTCACCTTTCAAAACCGATGTTATTTTAACACTCCCGGATTTAGTAGTGTGATGTCTGCGGTTTAGTTTTGCTTGTTTAGTACTCATTTACCAACATTATGTACATAAAGCTGATTAGTAACGAGAATACACTTTTTTCCTGCTTCGGTCAATAATAAGGTCAATTTAGTTAACAAAAAATGAAATAAACAAAGATAAAGCGCAAATAACATATTGATTGTATCCGCCAATACCGGCGTTGAAATACAAAAGCTGGTTTCACATTATGAGATATACAGTATGAAATATACACAGTATGAGATATATATGAGAGATACAGATGTATCTCAAAAAGAGTATTAAAACCTCTTTTAGATAATGTTTACTCCTCTTAGGATCTCGCTCTATCGAATCGTGTGTACACCAGCTGAATCACAATCCGGTAATAATAACGAGGTAACGGCCTGTGCCGAGGCTCCTGAGGGAGCATTCGAAATTAGTTACCTATAAAAGATTTAGGCTAAGCGCCATCCGCGCTTGGCCACGTCAAGTCCGGTGAATCTGTAAGTGCCTCTTCAAGGCAAACAGTGGCAATTCAGTCGTAAAACAGCTGAAACTGGACTATCGCAAACTGTTTAGTCTTGCTTTGATTCATTTGAGCTTATGGAGGTCCGCACACTACTCGATTTATTTGTGCAACTGAACCGTTGAAAGAGCTGCGAAACAATCGACAATCGCACAACAGGTGAGCGATTGTTTAGTCCAAAGTGTGAGTACGCTACTTACGCCACAAAAAATTACTTTGCTAAGCATGATGAACGATATTTATTTCTCTACACGCAACGTAAATTATGTTATAGCTCATTGTGTTACGCCGGATAAAAGCTGATTCCCACACACTATAAAAAGTATGTTTAAAACATTTTGAGGTTATCGACTATCTTATCTTTATCCTTATAGAACTTGTAATGCATTTACAATTCGATTTACCGACATCACGATAGGATGAATTTGCAAAATAAAGCTTTATACCATTTGTACTTTGTAACAGATTTTAAAAGTCGCTTAAACTATTATTGTATTAGTTTATCGTTATCTTGTGGCATCACGGTATCTCTATTGATGAGCTGTTACTTGTCCATTCTGTAACATTATAAGTAGGCGTAGGGAAGTCAACGAATTTTAACTGACGAAGTCAAGTTTTAATCGATATACTTTTATATTTACAACGATTCTCTCCTATTATGAGTATACATAAAAGGAGACAGTTGTAATTATCCAAGAGCGTACAATTATACACGATAAAAGGAGTATTCCGTTCCTACAAATAATGATTAAGTAAATTAGTGATGAATATAAAAAACAAAATTCTATTCCAGTCAGGTCCAGTGATCCCGATGCCTGTACCATCATCGTACAACGATGTAGGAGAGGACGGTTCTCTACGAGATCATGTTGGACTGGTGTGGTACGACAGGAGATTCTACGTACCCTCCGCCTGGCAACAGAACAAGCAGCGCATCTGGCTTCGATTTAGCAGTGTACACTACGCCGCACAAGTTGTAAGTATTATCGTGTCTCCTACCATATCGTACTCTCCTAAGGTCGGCAACCGGGTTTTCGTCCCCCAAATAACTCTATCATCCGTCATCTCAGTCATCACTCCCGCTCTCAGTATTATAAAACCAATAAGCGTATGCTTTTTAATTTAATTAATATTTTAAATTTATGGCTTGTACTGAAGTACTCAATGCCGTTCTGGTCTTTTCTAATCTAGACTAGTCTAGTCTGATACAACATTATTTCTCTATGGAATTTAAAAAATAACCAAATATATAGCCTATGTTACAGATAAATTATATTTCTAATGGTGAAAGAATTTTTGAAATCGGCCCAGTAGTTATTGAGTTATTTCAATACATATCAAAAACAAATCTTTCCTCTTTATATACATATAGATAGATTAAATACAGAAACATTTAAATAATTCATTCTTAAAAGTATTTCAAAACGTATTGTAAGTACTAGGGCAACATAAGAGTCGTAATGCGGGTCAAACGAGGTGTAGTTCAAACTGGAGGTGTCCGCGCCCGCGTCATTCATGTGTCGCCAGGCAATTGGACAATTGGACAATTTGGCGAACGTGAGCGGTCTCGTGAGACGCACAGCTGCGAGTTATACGTCTCATTCACCTCGAAATAATCACAGATGACCCAGTATGCAATGCAATTTCTTGTTCAGTCTGACGCTATTCATGATCAACAATTTGATTTTAAAAAAAAAACAATCTTAGGAATAGAATAAAATAGATATATCTGAACGCTAAGCAATCTGATCGTGTATATTGTAATTTTCATGAATGTTTTTAGTCGAATATATTAATGATTATTTTCTTAGTTAAGTTGAAAATGGAGTAACATTTGTAACATCTGTTAACCTTTTTCATACTAGAATGAAAAAAATGCATTAAAATCATACTGGTTCGTGTTATCGGCTTAACTTTAATTTTGGATAGGATAGATAGAATAAAATGAGTTAGATCCTTGTTTAATATTTGATATGAACGTAGAGACACATAGGTATAGATAAAGCAACATTGATTTTATATTCCCAAGGGCTGTTCGCGGGTTGATCGTAAAGTGCAATTTACGGGACAGTGCGGTGATATCGAGACGCTTCACAATGCCTCGTTTATAATCGAATACAAATCATTTCGCGGTTGCCCACTTGCCCACTTCTAACGTATTTAAATTGTATGCTCACATATAAAGTGCACGCACGATTCATGTGATGTATACGACGATCGGACCAATGAAGGCGCTGCGAGATTCGATAGCAACTGTAAATATAACAAATAAAACGATTTTAATTCATTTAAACTCGCGAACATACAATAGGTCAATAAAAAATAAATGCGTAACCTAATCTAACCCAACTTGTAACTAATTAGAAATTCTTTATTGACTGGAATTTCTTGGTTATTAAGATAATCCTTCAAGATGATTACCATTTTAAATAATGTTTTTTTTTACACCATATGTTGGCAAACGAGCAAGCTTACACCTGAATCCGCCAAAATAGCGAAGTACTGCCCATAGACATTCGCAATAGCTCATGCGTTGCCTACCCTCAATAGACGGAGGAGGAAACGCACATAAAGAGGATATTTTCCCTTCCTACACGTCACTTCCAGCTTCAAGTCCACGTTCCCCTCCCACTCTTTTCTTATAAGAAAAAGGGCGGGAAGGAAAGACGACTACAGTTGGGCCGGCTGTAATAACTGTACTCATAATCAGTGCAATCTAAAAATTGTCAATCAAATTATGCAATTATCAAATGCGTTTCGTAACCCGCGAGAAAAGTTACGACAAATACAAGAGAAAAACTTCAGTGTTACTATATAATGAGATAATGAGAGTCGAGTTCGTTTTGCGTAACTCATGTGAATAGAAACGAGCGAACGGCTGATAAAGAAATTATCTCATTTCTCGAGTCGTTGCGCGCGATGCAGAAGCGATGCTTGTTTATTAAGCGTTGTTACCCTTATTTCGATTTTGAGAGATAGTTGCATCTTAACAGAAATAAAATACTTAATTTGTTCTTACATCAAAAGCAATAATAATAGAGAACATACCTATTGAAGTTAGCACGTAATTTTAAATAGTAGATTTGGCTGTATTTGTTTATTGGCGGCAACTATTTATCAATAAAAAATGTATAGACTTAAGGAAAAACTTATAGAATGTTGTATAAGTTGCCGCCAACTCGTATCTTCTGTAACACCTTTATGTCATTCATTCAGAATAATAAAGCATTCAATAAGTCATTCTCGGCTGTTGCACTCACTCTGATGGTTCACACGTACTTACAATGCGTTTTGAATTCGAGTTTCATGAGTATTCGTTTTTAATCATTTAACTGCCGCTCTTAAACAGGGGATTAGTATACTACGGGTATCCCTTTGCAGTTTATTTAAAATTTGAACATAATCATTCATTGTTAATGTCCAACAATCTTAAAATGCAAACTTTTACAATCATTGTGGTTAAAATATTATTACGGTTATTCCATTTATAAGGAACACAGACAAGAGAGTACTCAGAATATCAATTTAGATAATATTTTAAACACAAGAATTAAATAAAGCGATAACCCCGTACTGATACGAACACATGAGTGAATGGACGACATGCATTGCTCGTGTCTGATAAAATGTATGGAACAATAAAATATCTGGACTAGTGCTGATCCATCCAATTCTAAACCTATTTTTACTGTCTCGCTTACCAAATTTACCTCATATTTAACAATTATATAATAACTACCTTTCTCCCGCCCCACCAATAAAAATTAAATTAAAAAAAACCGAAAAGTAAGTAACTTACATGTTCTTCCAGACTATCTTATACATCAAACCCAAATTTCATCGAGATCCGTTCAGCTGTTCTAGTGGCAACCTCTAACAAACATCCATCCATCTAAACTTTCGCATTTCATAACATTAGTAAGATAAATCTATCCGTATAGAAACATGTCATAACTATACTTTTTTACTTGCAGTGGGTAAATGGTAAACTGGTGACATACCATGAAATGGGCCATCTACCCTTCGAGGTGGAGATCACGGATGTTGTCTGCGAAAAGGGAAGCAATCTACTCACTGTGGTAGTAGACAACACATTGCTGAGTGACACCGTCCCTCAAGGCAGTATTAGAGACACATTTGTAGGGTAAGTCATACTCACATAGAAATCTCCACGACATGGTTACAAAGACTTGAATGTCACAGAGTTCCTTCGTGAAAAGATTCTCCACTACCTCATCCTACTCCCGTAGTGTCGGCGCACCGGGTTAACGTCCTCTAAATAACGTCTCTAAAATCTCATCCGTCTTCACAATCACCACTCACTTCTTGATCATGTCACCTTTCACGGAATCCATCCACCTCTCAAGGTTTACCTCTACCGGTATACATCGAAACTGAACATCCCGTAACATGTGGCAGAAATCGTTTTGTGTAAAAATAATGATGACCATTCAATGTAAAATTAAACACGTTTAGATGAGCGGAACAACAATGTTAACAATACAATGAATTCTTTGACCATTTAATCCCTGGTATCCTTGATGAGGTCAATTGCATGAACAAAGCTACTTGTCGGACACGTTGGGACATACTTAATGTGTTTGTGTAACGTTTCACACTTCGCTGCATTATTTGTTAACGGTTGCCTGCATTTTATTGTTTACTTTTCTTTGCAATAGTAAACGATTACCTGACCTACTGTCTAACCGTGGGTTATTACCAATCTTACGCGTTCCAAAATATTTTTTAAATAACGTAAAGGCATCTATTACCGCCAGTTTAAGCATTATTCAGATTGAGGCCCAAAAATAAGCATGATATTCGATGTACTATAGACGGGGTCCACGCACGTAATGAGTAAATATTCTTAAATTCCATGAGTTACAGACAAAAATAAATGCATCTACATTTTCTCTAAAACAACCACTTGTGTAACTTTAACACATCGCAGGTATATCATAGTTTTCTAAATAGGTCGGTAACAGACGCGGATTTTGATGAGTCGTTATTAGGCGCGTTTACGTTATACAGGTACGAAGACATTCTTAACTTCTTACATGTTACCCATCGCAATTCAAATATCTTTTTCGATTAATTCTATAGTAGATGAGATAGATAATTATTGAAAATCATTAGAAGTAAACATTATTTTAAATCACACACATCTTTTATTACCGTTTTAAGCCTGTATTACATTATTTTCAAAATCGAATTTAATTGCTTACGCTTTCACTTCGTGTTACATTATTCAGCACTCACGTTTTAATTCGTTTTTTTAATCGTTTATTTTTAAATTCCTTTACTCTATTAATGTAGTAAATTAATTAATTAATTTGAAACTTGTTACCATAAATTATTACATAGCTTTGTAATTATAAGGCTTTTGAATAATTAGGTCGGAAGAATCTCCAGATGTAATGAAGTATCAGCGTAAAGTAATTTACAATGATTATAAAATACCACGAGTTCTTTGTTTTGTTAACCTTTTAACTTATGCTAATTTTAAAAGCATTTCCCGCCTGTTTTCATGTGAAGTATGAAAGT